GCTTGATTTGGCAAAGTAAGAAAGGTAAAAACACGCAAATTGACCGGTAGGACTTTAGGTGGAACACCTGTAGCCCGATTTATATTATAACGGAGAATGCACGGGTGCTTTTACAAGGGAGTTTAGAGAGAGTGAATTCGGATCCCCTCATTCGAGAGTTACAAGAGGTATATATACTAGGCTGGGGAGCAGGACCACGTGCGCCCACGTGGGAGCATGCTGCTGGCGTGGTGTGAAGTGACTGGCTCTGAGCTGCCTTGTCATCTTGCGCGGGGGGTGGCACCCTTGTCGCGTTCTGGTTTGGAAATATTCCCTCAGCATCCCTGCAATTCCAAACACTACAGTCCAAGTCCTTTTGGATTCCTCTTGCCGACACTTCCCCAATCTCTAGGAACTACACCGGTTGGTTCTTGCACGCTGGCGTGGCCATCTTTATAGGGTGAATTAGCCGCCGGTATAGTTTGACCGGTATACTATCCTAAGCGTACCGGTCAACCTTTTGGTCAACCAGTCATCCCTTCGCCGACGATCTAGACCTCTCTTGCAAGTTTGACTTCTTTGACCGGTCAACTATCCGGTCTTGACCGTTGACCGGTCATGGGTGAAATACACCCATCATACTCCATATTTGTACCTCACTTTATACCCCAAAACATTATCCTGACATTTAATGTCAGGATACCAGTTTTGCACCTAAACATATATGTGAATGAACCACATATATCCCAAAACGGTGTTTTTTAGAGCATACCAGTTACATTTAATGTCAGAGTAATGATTTGGGTACAAAGGGAGGTACGTGTATCATTTTTCTTTTTTTTTTAATTTAATGAAAAACTTCGAAAAAACAAGCATAAACGGCCCTTAGAGAGTTTGTGGCCCGTTGAGTAGGACAGGATTCACGAACAACACTACTATCGGTTCGGGCAGGAGATGTTCCGCTCCGCCAAAATTTATTAGGTGAAATAATTTAGTCGATTTTTAAATTTAAATCGAGAGGATCCAAGAATTTGTTTTATCTTATTATTGTTGTGTATTTTTATTCCTCAGCTTTATTTCTTTCTTTCTTTCAATTCTGTCTATCTCTTTTTTTTCTCTCCTCTGAGCTCACTCACTCACTCACAATTCTCTGCTTGTCCGTTGGGAGACTGCAAATCTCTGAGCGTTGTTAACCTCTCTCTCTCTCTCTCTCTTCACACGCTCGCATTTTCTCCTTCTCACGCTGCAATGGCGTAACATGACCACAAGACTGCTCTTTTCACACCGCCGGGCATGAATCCCACCGCCACGGACCCAACCCAACCCCCGCCGCCGGCGCAGCCTCCGCGGTCCTCCTTCAGCTGCAACCGCCACCCGGACGAGCAATTCACCGGCTTCTGCCCCGAATGCCTATGCGAGCGCCTCACCACTTTAGATCAGTCCGCTTCCAGCAGTAACAACCCTTCTTCATCCTCTCGCCGCCCGTCCACCTCCTCCAGTTCCGCCGCTGCAGCTTTCAAATCCCTCTTCTCTAAATCCTCCGCCGCCGCACCGGCTTCCAGTTCCCTCCCTCCTCCCCCGCCCAAACCTTCCAAAACCTCCTCATTCTTCCCCGAGCTCCGCCGTACAAAGTCCTTCTCTGCCTCGAAGAATGAGGCGCTGGGCTTCGCTGCAGCGGCCTTTGAGCCCCAGCGGAAGTCGTGTGACGTAAGGATCCGTAGCACCCTCTGGTCTCTCTTCTCCATTGATGACGTTACCAGACCTTCCACTTCACAAAACCCTCCTCATTCCAACGAGAACTCCAGCGATTTTGTCAATAAACCCGTTCTCGAGTCCAACGAGGAGGAGGAAGGAGAAGAGGAACTCGATGATGACCAGGTCTTCTGCGAAATCACAAATGAAAGCCATGTGATTGAAGAAATCACCGAGCTTCCAGAATCTCCAAAAAGTGAAAACCCATTCGATAGAGTCCCTAGTTCTGAAATTGCAGAGGAGGGAGGTTTCGAGGAGGATGTATTGAAGCCGATGAAGGACCATATAGATCTAGATTCGCAGGTGAAAAAGCCTTCCGGGGGAAGCTTCTGGTCTGCAGCCTCGGTTTTCAGCAAGAAATGGCACAAATGGAGACAAAAACAGAAGCCCAAGAAGCCAAACGGGAGTCAAGGCTCAGCTACTTTGCCTGCAGAAAAGAAGCTGCTCTCGAGGCAGTACAGAGAGACCCAATCTGAGATTGCAGACTACGGCTTTGGAAGGAGGTCTTGCGATACTGACCCACGGTTCTCACTGGATGTCGGGCGGATTAGCTTTGATGATCCAAGGTACTCGTTTGACGAGCCTCGTGCTTCTTGGGATGGGTATTTTGTAGGGAGGACATTCCCAAGGATGGCTCCTATGGTCTCTGTGGTGGAGGATGATGCTCCTCCAGTGGTAGTTAGCGCTTCGCGTACAGATTCTCAAATCCCAGTTGAGGAGCTGCCTTCCATTCTGATGAACTCCATGGATGAGGACGACTCCCTGCCTGGGGGCTCAGCTCAGACAAGGGATTTCTATGCGGATTCATCCTCAAGAAGGCGAAAGAGTCTTGATAGGTCTGGGTCAGTTAGGAAGTCGGCAACCGATGTGCTGGATGCTGAGATTGAGGAAATGAAAAGCATTTACAGTGCTAAAGCGTTGACCGGGGGAACAGATTATAGCCATGGCTCAAAGGTGTTGACAGGCGATAGAGACTCAAACTCCAACTCTTTGAGGGACGATTGCTCTGAAACGTTTGAGCTCACGGGCTTTAGAGACAATGGTTCAGTGATTGACAATGGGGAGCGAAAGGGTTCGAAAAAGTCAAGGAGATGGGCCTGGAATATATTAGGTTTCATATACCGGAAAGGTGGTGGGATCAAAGATGACGAAGATGAGAGGTACAACAACAGACCAAATGGGGTGGATAGGTCATTCTCGGCGTCCTGGCAGGACCTGAGAAGGGAGAGCAATGTTGATATGAGAGGAGGGGGGGTGAATAATAAGAAGGTGTTCCGGAGTAACAGTAGTGTGGCCTGGAGGACATCATCAGGCCATATAGGTGGATCCTTTGGGTCTGCAAGGAAATCTAGTGTGGAGGTGAATGGGAATGCCAAGAAGGGGAAGGAGGATTTCGTGTTGGAGAGGAACCGGAGTGCTAGGTATTCCCCCAACCATTTCGACAATGGTCTCTTGCGTTTTTACTTGACACCCCTAAGTGGCAGTCGGCGAGGGAAAAACAACAGGAAAAACGCAACACATTCCTTTGCAAGGAGCATCCTTCGAATGTACTGAGATCCACCAAGGTCTTATTGTTGTTCTTTTCTTAATAATTTTTTTTTTCATTTTCTGCTGCATTATTATCAATCGTCTCCTTGGAGGGGCCTAATTAGGCTGTGCATTTGCAATCTACATGAATCTTTGGTATTTCCAATAAGAGCGAAATTCATTACTTGATTGTCTATCTTCCCGTTTTGGCAACTTCATTTCCGGTTTCATTTGCTATGTATCTGTAGTGTAAACTTCTTCTCTAACAATTTCCTTTCATTCTCTACCTGAATTGCAAAAGCTACTGATATGTAACTTATTGGTGCTGTGATTTTGATCTGACTGATTTTCAACTAAAACATTTCAAGTATTAGACTTAAAGTAGCTTTCATCCTTTTTGCTTTTTTCACTCTTATATTGATGAAGTCCTTTACGTTGAGTTCTTAGTGGAAATGCTTATTTTTGTTTGTTTTTTTTTTTGCTTCTTCTAATTTCTTTCCAGTAGAAGGGCTGCTGATGGAGAGGCCACATTTACTTGAACAACTGACTGAGCTGTGGAAGATCTGAACAAGTCAGAAGAGGAATGAAATAATGAAACAGAAGCTGGAAAATTATTTGTGAATTCCTTCTGCCCTCAACCAACACACACTTATAAATATATATATATATGTGTATACATCACTGAATTGGGAAGTTGGGTAGCTTGAAGGGAATGTGATTTTCTATTCCAAAAACTTGTATTCCAAACGGCGATCTGATGACTCACTCTTGGATTGTCGCCCCGTATATTTAACGGGGTATAGTGGTATTATTATTAAAATACGCGCGGCTACAATATTAGAGTTCGAATATGATTCATATGAGTATTTTGGTTGTTCCCATTCCACAAACTATGAAAACTCTTCTTCAATCAGACTTTATATATATAGAAGTTTGTTCATGTTTGTCAATGGCATTATAATAGTTCCAGTTTCTTTACTTGGTACCTGAGGTGTGTTTCCATTCTGAGATTTATTTTCAGTAGACCAGTTGGGTGCATGTATGTTTGAAGGATATATAGGCCTAGTTTGGGGACTTCGTTTTTAATTAGCGTTACTGTTTTTGATAATTTTTTTAATGATGTAGATTAATTTTAAAAACACTAAGATGGTGTTTGGGAACTAGAACTCATTTGAAATCTTAGATTTTATTTCAAACATTTGAAATTCCATAATTTCAAATTCCAAATGTTGTTTGAAAAGTCATAGAATTTCAATTCTAAAATTTGAATTTTGAAGTCGGCAAAAATGGTAACAGAAGTGGGTTGATATGTATGGAATTTTTTTTACATAAAGAGAAATCACTCTTTAATTACAAGTTTTAAATTAAAGAAAAGTTGCGTTTGAATTTTTAAATGACATAGGGAGGATGTGGATTTGTAGTTGAGTTAGTTTTGAATTAGAAGAATTTGATTGAAATCGAATTCCAAATTCTTTGAGTTCCTAAACATGTAATTAGGATTAAATCTGGATTTGAAATCCCAATTCGAGTTCTCAAACATACCATGGGTACAAAAATGCAAATCCAAATCCAAATTCGAGTTCTCAAACATACCATGGGTAGTGGGTACAGAAAATGCAAATCCAAATTCGAGTTCTCAAACATACCATGAGTTCAAATCTAAATCCAAATGTTTTGAATTCCTAAACAAGTAATTTGGATTAAATCTAGATTTGAAATCCAAATCCAAAAATTGAATTTAATACAGTATTATTTTCAAAGTGATAGAGTTAAACTTTGAAGATATTGCTAAATGGGCACATAAATGCCCTCCACACATCCAGTCTCCAAATGATAGTTTAGCTCCTAAGTGTTCTTTTGTTCTAAAATACTCCGTATCCTTCATCTTTTATATAACAAAATACTGACATTGTTTCTCAATATTCTCAAACTCTTTAAACAACAAACTTGTACTCCCTCCGTCCTATAATGATCTTCCCGGTTCGCAAAACGAAGAAAAATCTCAAGTTTTTTCAATCTATTTTATTTAAATATTGGTATAGAAATAAAAAATAAAACATACATATTTAAAAACTACATCAAAAGTTCAACAAAACAAGTGGTGACAAAAATATTTTATTTTATCATATAGACCATGAAAAAACACAAATAAATATAAATTCCCGTGAAGTTGGAATAGTACTCTGGGAAGATTATTATAAGACGGAGGGAGTAATTAATTTTAAAGTAAATTCAATGAAAAGTTGTTTATAACGGGGTGTTTTCCTGCTATAATCTTAAATTTTAATATATTACATTTGTGATCCTTTATATTTGAGAAATATTATATAATCAGTCTTATGAATCTATATATATTTTTTACATATAGTCTACAAATGATTGATTTGAAATACTCATATATTTTCAAATATAAAAGATTAAAAACATAATATTTTGAAACTTAGGACTATTTATATATAGAAAACATCATTTTATAATATACTATTTATACGGAGTAGAATTTAATCTTAGTTTTAATCTCACAAAAGCAACCGTTCAAAGCACATAAAATCCAAAATTAAAGAAAAATTACTCCGTAACAATTACTGTAACAACGATGCTTGCGCCAAATCAAATGATTGGGTAAAAAATAGCCTTAATAACAGTAATCCGGTAAAGTAGAGTGGGTGAAAAAAAAAGGAGGAACAAGAAGAAAGGCGTAATGTAATGATTAAAAAATCAAGTGGGGAGGGCAGATTTTTTTTTTCTCTCCTTTGGATTGGGAAATCAGTGGAATCAAAAACCCACTAAGTAATAACCATAATTTTTTTAAATTTTTTCTTTGATCATTTGTTTTCTGCTTTTACTCTCTTTTGTGTTGGCACCTCCGTGGGAAAAGCTCAATGATCAAAATATGCTGAGGCATTAAAGTCAAAAGGTGACAAAAAAGAAAAAGAATGCGCTCCCAACATGCTCCCCCCTCTTTCTTTTCAATTGCTGCATAGGAAAAATATACTTAAAAAAAAAGGAGAGAGAGATGAAAAAAGAAAAAGCGGCTCGAAACCCGAGGGCGTGCCATTGCCAGGTAATGACATGAATTGCAACGGTACTTACCACTATGCACCCCTTTCGTGTCATCTTCGGGCGGTTCATGTCAATTATTCGAGAGTGTTATGGTATTTCGTTCATGAAAATTGATACTCCTATCGTCTCTAATTTGATTATAAATTACTCACTCCGTTTGGAAAAACACTTCTCATTTGGATTTGGGACAAAAATAAGGAAGTGTTAAATTATACTCCGTAGTTGATTTCCAATTTTGCCCCTGATGTGATGGATAGATTATTAGAGAAAAAGTATGATGTGATAGGTAGGGTATGAAAAAGTAAGGGTAAAAGTGGTTTTTTAATGGAAAAGGGAAGTGTTTTGTTGGAAGTGGAAAAAATGAAAGAAGAAGTGTTTTTGAGAACAGAGGGAGTATATATTATAAGGAGAAATATCTCAATTTTTAAAATCATTTTATTTATAAATCGATATATATATATATATATCGATACGAAATAAAAATTACATATTAAAAAGTTCTACAAAATAAGAGATGACAAAAATATTTTATTTTATCAAATACTTAATGAAATCGCATAAACAAACAAAAGTAATTGAGAAGAGAGAGAGAAAAAATTGTAATCAAATTGGAGACGGAAGGAGTATTTAGTATCACACAACTGAGCGTTGATGTATAGACACTCTTGAAAATGAGGATACAAAGATTGTTTGAATAGTTTAAAAGTAAGAGAATTTTGAAATAGGAGTAATTATTTTTTAACAAAATAGTGTAAACACGATATCGGATACACTAAAGTGGTGTGTTCTACTCCCTACGTTTTATAATGAATGCCACACTCCCAAGAATGTACATAATTTTATTATTTTTAAAATGATTTTAATAACAAATTGGTATAAAAATAAAAGGTATATATAATACACCGTTCAAAAGTATATAAAAAGTTGTACCCTCTTCGTCCCAAAATGTTTGTCACATTTCACAAACTCAGGCAAGCTATCAATTTTTTTCAATTGATTTTATTTAAATATTGATATAGAAACAAAAAATAAAATTTACATTTTTAAAAACTATACAAAAAAATCTTTGAAATAAGAGGTGTCAAGATATATTTAATATAAAATTTAATATATTTTATTTTCTCAAATAATCAATGAAAACGTACAAATAGACAAAAGTTCTCGTAATGGTCGAAAAAAAGAAATTGACATTCTTTTTTAGACGAAAAAGTATAAAGTAAGAGGGGAAAAAAATATTTTATTTTTATTAAATTATCAATAGTAAGAGTGTTGCCTATTTTGAAATGGAGGGAGTAAATTTTATTGGACATGATTGCCAATACTTCTTTTTTTTTCTTTCATTTTTGAGAAAAAGAGAGAGAATTGAGAGCATTTAAAATAAATTTATACATTTAAATATCACAACCCATTCACGTCAAATAGCATCTAGACAAAATTCAAATTACTCTCTCCATCGAAAAATATACTTCCTATTTGACTTTTTATGGTCAAAGTTTGTAAACTTTGATTATAATATGTGAAAAAATGCATTGTATTACGATATAACTTTAATATAAATATATTTATTTTGAAATATTGTTTTCAAATATCAAATTTTTATAAAATATATCCATGTATAAATAAAGATATTAGTGGTCAAAGTACAATCTTGGAGACCGTAAAAAGTCAAATGGGAAGAACATTTCCGGACGGAGGGAGTATAATACTTCGACATTCATTTACCATTGGTCCTTCAATACATTATTTTCATTTATTACATACCTTTATGAGTTATCACATACGAAGTACTCCGTATGTCTCTACCTCTCTCACTTTTTTGAAATTATAATCCTTCAACATTCATTTACAATTTGCTCCTGAAATATAAAATAAGCCGAGATAAACAAGGCCGATTGATTGTTCCAAAACAACCGGGGAGGTGTCACGATCGGCACCCCAAGTGCCATCAAGACGTGGGGTATCCAATGAATCTCAGCACGGGCATTGGCCATTGCCCTATACTCGGCTTCTGTAGAGAAACAAGAAACTATGATTTATTTTTTAGTTTTCTAGAAACCGAGGATCCCCCAAAGTAATGAAAACCCCACTCACAGAACGCTTGGTAAGAAGAAAGCTTGCCAAACCAGAATTAGAATAGGCACTAATTTGTAAAGTGCTATCACTCTTTAAAAGAAAACCTTGTCATGGGTGCCCTTTAATGTACCGTGGAACCCGCATAGTAGCAGAAAGGTGATTAACCTTAGGTGCCTGCAAAAACTGAGACAAAACATGGACATAGAACGTCAGATCAGGCCGAGTAGTGGTCAGGTAAATGAGGCGGGCTATTATATGCCGATAGCGCGTAGGATCACGTAACACGCCACTCGCCAATCTCCTTAGTCCGTGATTTGTCTAAACCAGTGTATCCACGTGCTTACATCCCAATAGACTGGCTTCAGATAAAATATCCAAAGCATATTATTTGCATTGGTACAGCATTGTCCTCGCCGGTGAACGTGCACCTTCGATCCCAAGGAAGTATTTGAGAGGACCCAGATCCTTCAAATGGAAATAGTTATGTAGATAACGTTTGAAAAAAGAGCACAAAGTGTGGTTATTTCCTCTGACAAGGATATCATCAACATAAATATAAATAGACAAAGTATCAGGTCCACGGCGCATGTGGAAGAGAATGTGATCCTTATGTGCCTAACAAAGATCGTATTGACAGAGAGTTGTGGTTATTTTTCAAACCAATTACGGGGAAAATATCTCAGCCCGCACAGTAACTTTCGTAAAAGACATA